GTCAAAATATGAAACTTGTTCATCAAGTAATTGAAAAGTCAAAATTCATCTTTGAAAAGTCAAATTTCCAAGACTTAGAATTTTTTCTAACTGTTGGAAAGTTCACATTTTTTCATAACTTTGTGCCAAATTTCCACCATGATGCAAGATGATTCAAGATAAACTTCCAACATGAAAGTTGTAAATCTCAATGAGATCTAAAACATTGTAGGGAAGAACTTTTTCTAGAAACGATTGGATTTCAAGTTATGAATTTGTGAAGACATGCTCATGAACTTAAAACACTTAGTGAAAATTTCCCCTAGTTAGGCAGATTTTTGGTAGCAACTTCATGGCAACTTTTCACCTAGTTCCAAGATGAATCTTCAAAAATTTCCAACCTAAAGGTTATAGAGGATGTTACAAGATTTCCAAAATATCCAAGAATCAATTGATATCATACTTGAGCTAAGAGAATCGAAGGCAAGAAGTAGGGTTTCAAACTTGTTTTTCAAGTCATTTTCATGATGAACATTTGATCCAATCCATAGCCATGCTGCATAATCCTCAATTTTCAGGCCTAAAACTTGTTTTCCACTCCTTAATTTAATGTTTACACAACTGATTGATCAATTGTCCAATTGATTCAAGCATTGTCCAAAGCATTTTTGCCATTTTAGGGAGAAAGTCACCATTTCCATTCTTGTAAAGCAAGCTTTATGCACAAAGTCAGCTTCTTGAGCTCTTAACTTGTTCTCTTTAAGTACACTCCATCCACAAAGTCAGAAGCAAGCTTGTTTAAATTCAACCACTCTACAATAGCATGGTACAAGCCATGGAAACTTATTTTGTCAAGAAAATCACATGTTGAGTTTAAACATGTAAATTCAAATTCTGACTTGTTGTAGCATACAAAACCTTTTGCTTATAAATAGAGACACTATTTTGAAGATAAGACACGAATCCTAAGACCCTAAAACTCTCTCAAACACTCACAAACCAGAAATTGCTCAAAAACACCATTGATACACAAATCTGACCTTGAACTTGTATCTCTCATTTCCCTTGTGTGTTTTCCCTCAAATTCATTTGCAAAGCTTCTATACCTCAAGTATAGTCCATCCATGTCCTAGTTCTGAAACTATAATACCATTTTCATCAACTTCTATAACCAAAAAACAGAGTCTGCAAGTTGACTTCTACATACCATTCCAGCCATCCATAGCTCAAGCTAAGCATTGCATTAGCTTCCTGGGAACTTGAGGAAGCTAGCCTGATCATCACAACTCCTTGAAAGCAGCTCAAACTCATTTCACGATATCCAGTTCTGAGGTATTTTTTCTGAACTTCTATCTCTTTATACAAGCATCATTTGATTCTGATTTGTGAAGATAAAATATGGATATCATTTCCCTGAAGCTGTACATGTCCATAATTTTCATTTATATTGCCTGAGCTTAGAGAATTTTATGTTTGAATCTCTGAAAAAAGTTAGGTCAGGATTTGGTACTTTTAGAAATTCATGCTCATCTTTGAGAATTAGTTTAAGTTATTTACATATTCAGAATCATGGTGAAATTTCTAACAAGTTTGATGTTGGAAGTTTTGTGAATGGATGAGAAATGAGTGAGTTACAGGAACTCTGGTTGGAGGTTGAAGATGAAGTCATTTCTGAAACTTGTTTTGTATTATATATTTATGGTTATTTTTATATTAACAGATGTACAACCATCCCAGTGGTAAAGGAAGCGCGCGTTTATGGTCTAGGTCATGGGTTCAAGTCCCAGCACGTTGGGCTTAGTACTGGGACTTTCCCTTTTTTACTTTTTCTACCCCCCCCCCCCCCCCCCCTCTTTGCAGGTTTTACACAGGCTCAACCTTATTTTATTTTATTTTTCTAATTACAAAAAAAAAAAAACCATTGGGCCAGACTTCAAAACAAAACTGCTTTTTTAACAAACTCCCAAATTCTATTTCAAAACCCCTGACTTTTATTTTCTTATTTTATTATATTTTATTTTTCTTTATTATTTTTATTATTATTATTATTATTATTATTATTATTATTATTATTATTATTATTATTTTTATTAATAAAAATCCAAAAATAATTTATTTATTTATCGAGTATACTTATATTCTCTTTTTTTTTTCCTTTTTTAAAACTAAAAAAGACAAAAAATACTTTCTTAAAAAAATTTAGTTCTTTTTATTAATAAATTAATAATTAGATTTAAGTTTAGTTATTTTCTTTTTTTATTAACTTAGAATTTAGGTTTCTTTTAATTAATTAATTTCTGTTTTATTTTTATTAAATTTAAAACCTTTTCTAAAAAACCCTAAAATTGCTTTCTAATTTAATTTCTTTTCTTAATTAATTTAGGTTCTTAATTAATAATTTTCTTTTAGATAATTAGGTTAGAATCCTTTCCTCAAAAAACCAAACAAAATCATTTCCTTTTCATTTACATCCTTGCACATTATATTCTTTTCAATTCTTGTACATTATTCAATATGGTTGTAATAGATAATTAAGTTTAATTTCTTGCAATCCCCATTTGTAAAGTTGTATACCCCATCCCCCTAATGATTTTAATAGCGTAAAATATTTACTTTCCACAATTTATCACTTTCATATAAATGCTAGTAATTAGGGTTTGTATGAAAAGATAAAATCAACAAGTAGATAACCCTAATCAAAGATTAAATACATGTAATTCAAACACACTATTCACACATGCACCCTTAGGGTAATTCCACTTGTTGCCTTATAAAAATGATCATGTTACGCATGTGGAATATCTTAGCAAAAACAATCAAAAATACAAGATCATAGTCTCCCGATGACGCTACAAATGTTGCCTTTCAAATGATCTTAGTCCCTCAAAGAGAAATGCTAAGATATCTTACAACATTGCTATCATGACTATATGATAACCCACACTCGTCCCTTTACATCCAAAGATAAGGATTCTTACCAATCAATGCTGAGATAGTAATATCAAAGGAAGGAAGAAATGAACAAAAGACTTTTGAGTAGGTAGAAATGTTCTTAGTTGCTTGCTCGCTTTCAAAACAAACATTCTTGCTCATTTTCAAAATAAACACCCTTGCTCACTTTTAAACAAACACTTTCCAAACATGAAATATTTTTAAAAAAAAGTCCAACACTTTGTATACGTTCTTACGAACGAGAACCATTACAAAGTTTGCCTAAACAAAGACACCTTTTCAAAATACTTTCAAAAACCCCCACAAAGCACATTTTCAAACAAATCATATTTTCAAACAAAACAAGTGATCTAGCAAGCAACTAAGAGCCCATAGATAACTATGAATGAAAAGGGTGCTAAAACCTTCCCTTTTCATAATCTACCCCCCGAACTCAAGAAATAATCTCAAAGGTCTTTCCTGTTCTTTTCCACCTTTCCTTTTGGATAAAAGAAAAGTCGGTGGCGACTCTTGCTAACTGCAACATTTGCGATCAAACGCAAAACATTCCAAGTCAGTTCTCCCACCGTATTACAAACTCTAATTTGGCAACTTTTTACTTTTGATGATTTGGGGGTTTTCTTGAGGAATCGTGATCAACCCTTGATCAAATGATTAATATCACTTCAAAATGTTGATGTTAACCAAAAATCTTGAGGTTTGATTGTATGTTTACCACATTTGACCTTTTACCCAATACAGTTGATTTTCAGTCATCTGAGTCATTGACTGAGCAAACTTGTGATGCAAGACTTGAAACTTGACATGAACATTCTTGAAGACCCATGGAGAACCATTAAAACCACTTGAGACCTTGAAAACCCAATCTTCCTTGAGAAATACCAAATCCTAATTAAGGACCCATTGCTTAGAATGAGAATTTGTTTTATCAATTCTTGAGCCAACTTGAGCAAATGAGGATCTCATGAGAATGTCTTTGAAGAAAAATGGGTGGGCAAATTTTGGGGTACAACAGAAGGTGCTCAAATCTCTTGGAGTTCAAGGAAGCAAATCATTGTGGCTTTGTCATCATGCGAAGCAGAATATGTGACTGCATCATATGTTGCATGTCAAGCAGCCTAGATCGAAATGTTACTTAAGGAACTCAAGATAATGGAACCTAAGAAGATAAAGTTGTTTGTCGATAATAAATAAGCTATTAACCCGGCGAATCACCCAATGTGTCATGGTCGAAGTAAGTGCATAGAAAAGAGGTGTCATTTTCTGAGAGATCAAAACAACAAAGGGAAGTTAGAGATAAAGCACTACAAGACAAAAGTGCAACTAACTGACATATTTACCAAACCATTGAAGAAAGTCATATTTGACAAGTTAAAGAGAAGCATCGGGATGAGAAGTCTTGAGAACATGAATTAGGGGGTGTGTTAGAAGCTATAATTCTTGTTCTGTTGAAATATCGGAATAGCTTGTTGTATAGGTTGTAAGTTGTATTCGACAGAGTCGAATACAACAGCTATTGAAGTATGTCGAAATCATGCTTTGGGATATAACATGTATTGTCGTATTGGGCCTGAGCATTGTATGCCTATATAAAGGACTGGTTAGTTTGTAATTTTACACACATTTAATGTAATTACGATTCAGCTAGAATCATACAAACTTTCAATCTCTCTCTCTCCCTTTTTCTTCTTCCTCTTCCATAAATCATATTCTTAAAAATTCTTTATTCTAACATGAGTACCTAAAATATAAGACATAATAAAGTGAAAGAAAAAAAAAATCAATTATGTCTCATCGAATTCCATTCTTAGAAATGTAGAGTAATATATAATCATGGATAATCGAATGAAGGGCAAAAATTAGAAGTCCGATTATCTGAACTATAAAACTATACATAATGGTTAGCACAAGAAAATAGTAATAACCATCATCACACATCTTTTTAATAATGGTACTTCACATCGCCACATTGTTAAATGAGTACACTCATACTTATAACCAACCTAAATTTTTGATCATTCAGCAAATCAATACATTCATTAATTTCAATTTCAATTTCTACAACAACACTAAGTCTTAAACTGAAAATGAAATTTTGCTTTCATTTTCTCATCTATAAACCCAAAATCTCCCAAGAATGGTAGTCTAAGACATTCCCCCAATGGTTTAGCCTCTTTGACAATGAAAACATTGTTGTTTCCTACGAAAGACACTGCATTGTTACAAGCTGGAATAGCACTAGAAATATGAGATATTGGTAACAAACAATTGGCAAGAAGTGCTTCTCTCGTAGAGATGAAGTAATTATTTTCCCAATAATTATAAGGTTGTGGAATAATATAGTTCACCGCTTCTAGATCAATTTCAAACAAATCTTCATCATCCTCTTCCATTAATCCTAAATCTTTGGAAACTCCTCTTTGTTCATTTGAAGTCATGTTTTGTGTTATGGTATAATATGTGAGTTAATGTTAATACATATATTAATGTATATGTACATTTATATAGTTAGAATTTTGATGTTAAGGTGGGTGGTGGCAAGTAGAACGCTCAAACAAATATATAGTAGGAATTTTAGAGGAGCTGCTCCACCATAATTCAACACTTATATGTTGTTGACATTTTGATTCTAATGATATTTTATTATGTTTCACCAAAATCATAACACCAAGTCAAACGTAGAGCTACCTACCTAACAAAAGTAGAAAAGTGTTGACATCATGCCATCAATTACTCATAGCTAAGGTAATTTTTCCCTGTATAAAATCGCTTGATAAAATAGAATTAAAGTTAAGAGTTATTAACTAATGTCTCGATTAACTTCTAAGTTCAACAACAAATTTAAAACATCCGATGAGACACTGTACCTAGAACCACTAAAAAGTTCAGTTCACCAAGTCATGACTACATTTGACATATGCAATTGTGTTCAAGAAAGAAAATTGTATATATGGATTAATCATAATAATAAGCATGCAAGTGGCCATACAAACATAAAACTAACAACCCCCGCCAACATTAGAGAGGTCCCTACATTTGTAGCTCCTTTAGTTGGTTTTATCAGTCACATGTGTCCTACTTTAAATTTGTCAGTCTTTTATTTATTTTTTTATTTATTTTTTTCGTTAATTTTCTTTCCTTTTTTTAGATTACGTTTTGGACTTTTCATTTATTTTAGATAATATAGTGTCCAAGTAATTTTAACCTAATTCTAAGTCTATAAATATGACTCATTGTTATCCTAATTTTTCATCAACAGTTAATCAACAAATTTTCACAATTAACCGATTGAAATAACCGTCAGACGAGAATTGACTACCAAATGGTAACTGATGGAAACGATAATGTGTCATACAGGAATTGACTACCAGACGAGAACTGGTGAAAATGATAATGCGCCAGAAACGAACTGATTATCAGACGAGAATTGTAATTTATTTTACTGTCAGACGAGAACTGACTACCAGACGGGAATCAGTGAAAATGATAATGTACAGACGGGAACTTGGCTTTGCAATGATTTTCCATACAGGGACTGACTACCAGAGCGAAACTGGTGAAAATGATAATGCGCCAGACAGGAACTGACTACCTGACGGGAACTGGTAAAATGATAATGTCCCTGACGGGAACTGAGCTTTGCAATGATTTTCCAGGTGAGAACTGGGCTTTGAGATGATTTTCCAAACGTGAACTTTGAAACTATTTGTTAGACGAGAATTGGGCTTTGAAATGATTTATGTTATGCGTTATGATTGATTATGCTTATGTGATGTACATTTTAATTGATGCATGAAATGTAATGGTTGATCAATGTATGTAATGAGTGACTTGGGTGTGTATCAATGGATGTTGGAATTTGAAATGCCAATGAATAATTGAGTCTGTGGGGTAAATGGAAAGTGAGATTGGGATTTTTGAGATTAGATTCATGTTGTTAGAATACAACAGATGGATGAGAGCATATGTATGGCTCGATGATAGAGCGAAACGACCTAATGAATCCATGACAATGATTTATGACTTGGATGTTTTTGATTGATGCCCATATGATGGGCCGAAGATGGTTAATATTTAGATGTTGTTTATGTAACAAGGATGTTTGTCACACGATGGTAATCTATTATGCTAGCATGACTTCTTGATACTCGTTTTGAACTCGAAGATTGCTGATGTAGGAGAGAGCTTCATTGGGGATTATGAGAGCTTTCCCCTTTGTGGCATGTCTTGCACCTGTCTATTGAGTCTTTGTAGAGATTCTCCTCGATATGAGTTTTGGAGAAGTTTGACCTTATTGTAAACTTGAGACGACTGGTCCCACCACTATGCACTTTGAAACACTGGCCCTTGATTAATGGACTCTTGAAGTGATTTTCCCCTGATGAACCATTTTGAACCGGTTGTTGAGTCTCGCAGTGGTCTACCCTAACATTTGAATTTTGAAAGGCATCACTATGAAAAAAACAATTTTTGGCAGCGCATCTACGAAAGCGCTTTTAAGAGAAAGCGCTTTCGTAGCCTTTAAAAAAAATTCGCTTAAAAAAAACGTTTTTATAGGGTTTCCTACGAAAGCGCTTTCATAGGTATTTGAAATATCTAACCTACGAAAGCGCTCTTATAGGTGGCCCTATAAAAGCGCTTTTGAAAAGCGCTCTGAAAGGGGGACCTACGAAAGCGCTTTCTAAAGCGCTCTTATATGGGGGACATACGAAAGCGCTTTTTACCTCAGAAACGCTCTCATATATGGGTCTTAGAAAGCGCTTTTAAAAGCGTTTTTGTAGGTTATATCCCTAAATACGAAATTTGCCCTCACTTGTTCATTTCTTCGTCTTCTTCATTTCTTCTTCCTGTTCCCGTTCCGTTTCTCGCCGTCGCCGTTACTGTTCCTCTTCCTTGCATTCCGTTCCTGTTCCTGTTCGTGTTCGTCCCATTGTTGCGTTTCCAGAATCCCATTGCTGCGTTCGTTCACTGTTGCTTCGTCTTCCTTCGTCGCCGTTGTTCTTCCCTCTTCTTCAGTCGTCGCCGCCGTTCACTGCGTTCTTGTCCATCTTGGTAAGTTTCTTCTTCTTCCATTATCTGTTCCGTTATTTGACCGTTTAGTTATGCATGTTCTGGCCTGTTCTGATTTCTTCTTCCATTATCTGAGTATTTCTAGGGATAGATAATGCTGTTAGTATATGTTTGGATTCTTGTTGGAAAACACCAACTTATGATACAGGAAGAAACTTACGCACATTCTACTTATTTTTTGTTTATATGTTTCTTATTTGTGGGTTGATGTATGTTTTATTTCTCCGGGTGCATGGTACATAATTTTGGTGGTAACATTGAAATGGTTTGTGTTTTGGATTATATTGAATAACATTCTATGAATTTGCAGCGTTTCCCGGCCTAGTTCGACGTACGACGCTCATTCTCCGCGTTTCTTAGAGTTCGAAATATCTGAGAGGTAACTTTCTTCCTCAAATTACTGGTATATATTGTGATGAATTTGTCTTAAATTGTCTTTCGTATGTTGCATTTTCTTGATACGGATTCATTCCGTGTATACTTTGCGTTTTGACAGAAAATGTATCACAATGTTCCACAAGGAGATGTTCCACAAGATAATTCAGAAAATGTTCCACAAGATAATGTTCCACAAGACACTTCAGATAAGGACATCACACGAGGCATAACTATCATGCGGGGAATCATCTATGATAGAGATAGAGGTATTAAGTATAATGTAGATTGGAATAATGATGACCAACTAATTCGGCCTAATTCTGCAAAGCTGACAAGCTACATCGGTATGCTTGTTCATATGCACATTCCGATCACCACTCCTAGCTGGAAAAAAAGAGAGTTGGATGCTAAAGAAAGAATTTGGACCGAGATAAAGGTATCATATATGGTTGTTGTTATTTGCTTTATTTTGACGAAAATATTGTTTTTAAATTACATATACTAACACCCTCTATGCGTATATTTTTTTGTAGAGGTCTTTTAACATTGAAGATGCCCGCAAAAAGTATATAATGGGCTTGGCCGGAAAAAGACATAGAGGGTGGAGAAATTTTTTGACAAATAAGTTTCTTAAAGACGATGAAGGAAATTTTGTTGAAGAGGATCCTGAACGACCAAATAAATATGAGAGCTTCATTACACCCGAAGAATGGGTTGCTTTTGTGGGCCAAAGAAGAGACGAGAATTTCAAGAAAGTGAGTGCTGTAAATCGGGATAGAGCGTCAAAACCCGCATATCCATATAAAAAAGGTCGTTTGGGATATGCACGCTTACAGGAAAAAATTGTAAGTAAATCTCAATTCTACAATCTTATTAATTATCTCAATGTGTATTATTAATTTGTAACAATGTGTATTGATGATTTTATTATTTGTAACAATGCGTAGTTGGAGGAGACGCAGAGTGACGAAACATCACTACCTGCACATGTGCTGTGGAAGGAAGCTCGTGTTGGCAGAGATAAAGTTGTTAACGTCGATCTGTAACATATTTATGATGAGTGTGTAAGTATACCATTATGTCTTTAATTAATATATAATTAACGTTATGTCTTTAATTATCGATATTTAAATGAATTACAGGAGACTATATCGCAATCGGTATCCACGGGTGATGACCGGAATATCAGGAGCGTACTCAGTCGAGCACTATGTGTTGCTGAGTATCCGGGACGAGTGAGGGGTAAAGGCCATGGTGTGACTCCTACCTCTCTGTATAACAATCCAAGAAAAAGAAATCCTAGCAATGCAGAAGTGATGCAAACATTGTAGGATTTACAAGCACAAGTCCGTGAACTGCAGAGGGACAAAGAGAGATATATGGCAGAAAGGAGCAGTTCACAGTTGAAAGAAACTAGTGACAAGGCTAGTATCAACTGTCAACAAAATTTTCCCGAGGTAATTAAGATGATAATCCATTATATTTAGAGAAAGTATAATTATAACGGTTATTATTGTCAACATTAAAGGAAGTCTAACGGTTATTATTGGTTTAGGGCATTTCATGTTGGCAGCTGTATCTAGCGTCTCCGACTTATCGGGTAGTTGGCAAGGGAAAAGTGCACAACACCTCGGGAGATTTAATTAACCATAGACCGCTCCCGGATGGCCACATGAAGGTATCGGTTGATGTTGTTTTAGATATGAATGCATTGCTACCGGTACCTGACATTGTTGCGGAGACCACATTGCTGCGAGATGCAGTAGGATCTTTTGTGGCATGGCCATCAGACCTCATCTGCATAGATGATCAGGTATGTTGAAAACCATTATGAATCTTTAAGTATTCAACTGACAGTTCTGACCTGAATTTTATACATGGTGTTGTACCCCAACATTTGCCCTCCCATTTCCTCAACATTTTCTCATCACAAGGCCTTTGAAGATCAAGATCCAGTTAGGGTTTCCTCTGCTCAAGACTTCTCCTTGCA